TCGCTCTGGGGGGGGGGGGGGAGAGGCAAGTACACAGTTCTATTCCGTGTGGGTCCTGCCCTGAACCCCTTTTTACACAGAACCAGGACAGGAGGTTTTATAAGTTCCTTGTGCTGTGAATGTAAAGAAAACACGTCCCCCCGTTGAGCGAGGGGGTGCTCCCTGTATGCTGGAGCTGTTCCCCTGTGTGCTGTGGTCACTGAACTCCCTCAGACTGTGAGATAATTGATCCCCAGTTCTGCTGCTTTATTCTTCCTTCTTTTCTCCCCAGATCAGTGACACGTGGTGAGCTCAGTTGAAAAGGAAACTTCCCCAAGCTGTGAACTGCTCCTCTCTGTTTCTCTTTCAGGTGTACTTGTCTCTGATCCCCATAATAACAGGTGTCCTGCTGGCCACTGTCACAGAACTGTCCTTTGACATGTGGGGACTCATCAGTGCCCTTGCTGCCACTTTGTGTTTTTCCCTTCAGAACATCTTCTCAAAGAAGGTAATGGCTTTGCTGTTTGTAACATTGGTCAGTAGCATCATCCCTTAGCGAGACAGGATCTATTTTACATGACATTTTTTAATTATTATTTTTATTTAAGTTGACTTTATAGTCAAAGGACCCCAAGGTAAATGATTGGCTGGTTTGTGTGCCTGTTCTTCACAGCTCTTCCCACATGTCGAAGCTGTTACCCTGAGAATTGGGCAGAACTCAGTTTATCCTGAGCCTTTTCTTTACTCCACAGCATGATTTTTCCCCTGACATTTTGATAGGGCTTAAATTTAATCGTTCATTTGAAAGCCTTTAACATATCTTGCAGGATCAAATCCTTTCTCTGTAGTGAGTGACTCCGTGTCAACACTGGGCGCTCCTTGAAATCTGAGAAACAAAATTAAAATGCTTGTTTTGAATTGGTTTAGTGACAAAATGATTTGTGGTTTGTAGAGCATTTAAAACGTGTTATTGTCTTGTTAACAGTAAAAGGCACCACTCCAGAAACGGTCGTTTTTCAAATGCACATCTGTTTCAATTTGGGCATCCTCACAGGAATTGTACACTAACAATATTTACCCATTGCCAGAGTTTTTCTGTTGTCTAAAGCTGTTACTGTTGCCCCTGAACCTCTGCTGGTGACATGGGCAGCAGCTGAAGAAAGGCTCTGTAATGTTTTTGTCAGGTGTTGAGGGATTCCCGCATACATCATCTGCGGTTGCTGAACATCCTGGGGTGCCACGCTGTGTTCTTCATGATCCCAACGTGGGTCTTGGTCGATCTGTCTTCCTTCCTGGTGGAGAATGACCTGGTGAGTGTTGTGCTGGGGAAACTGTTCGTTAGGGAGAAAGAAAAGAGGAAAGAAAAAAAAAAAGCAAGCAACAAATAAACACCAGCGCCCGCACTGAAAAAGTGCACTGGAGTTTTTGGGGTGGTTTCTCATCAGCACGGAAGGAACTGTTGTGAAAGAGCTGCAAGTGGTTTCACAAAACAGTAGAAAAAAAATAAACATAGTGTTTATTGTGAGTGTTCAGGGCAGGATTAGGAGAAGCACCTTATGTGACAGTGTAAATCTTGGGAGTCTGTAGCTTGAGGCAGGAACAAATGG